CTATGAGTAGCAAGCGACTCAACGGCACATAACAACAACAATAACATTTGCTGTGAAGAAAAAGAAGCCAGAGTGCTCCTTGGAGACAAAGATGATAAAGTTTCATCTCATTTACTACTGGGATATGTTGTGTTGCTAGGAGAGGCTGTTCATTGGAAAGGACATCATGCTTGGAAAGGTGGATGGTTGGTGAAAGAGAGAAGACCCTCAACCAGGTGTACTGACATAGTGGGTGCTAGTGTGTCAACAAGTATGAGGACTACACAGGATAAAACAGGGTTCAGATCTGTTGTTCATAGGGTCGCTGTGGGTCGTACTCAACTTGATAGCACCTAATACCAACAACAAAGCGAGCAAGGTGGTCATTCTCCTTCTATGTCTTTTAAAGGTTCAGAAACGCGATAGAGGGTCAGTTACGAGTCAACACTGACTCTGTAGCAGGGAGTGGATGAATTGATATACAGTGCCCATGAAGATTCCAAAGCCAGGATCCAATTATATCCTAACAAATAGTTTTCTAATTATAACATGAACTTGGTGTTGGTGACACTGGCCACCACATTGGGTATATGGTGGATGATCCAAGAATATAATCTTTGTTGTATATATAAGTGAAAATGTATTTACATACAATTTTACTACCATAATAGAGAGTTGTGTTTAATTGCATTGATAGTACTGTATAGCCTTTTATACATATTTACAAATCATATTATTTTGGAGATTAAAGTAATATTTCAGTGCACTTACTGATGTCATTGTTCCCTTCTGCAAAAAGAAGGATTTATTTTTCTTTTTATTTTATTCATAAAAATTTTAGATAATCATTCCTTTCATGGAAGAATGTTCTTCATCTTTTAATTTCTAAAGTCAACTTATTATTCTTGGTCATAACACTATCAGTGTTTACCTTCACAACATTTTCAATTGCTTCCTATCCAGAGTTGGAGATGTGTGTGAAAGATAAATTTTCTTTGGGATTGATTTGTTTGCATATTCTTCAAAATAAGCCAAAGGCTTGAGTACCTAAGATGTTTTCCAGATTTGACTACATGCAAGTGTATTATGCAGAAAGAATACTAAAAAGTTTTATTACAAGCAAGCAAATTGGCAAGCTTCAAGAATGTTCAAAAGGATTTTATTTTGGTAAAACTTGTTATATGATAAAATTTGCCTGGTGAAACTTGTTATTCTATAAAATTAGCCTGATTTTACTTTTTAAAGTTTTTATAACATTTCCTTCTTTTCCCTTTTTTTGTTGATACAGATCCACATCCAGAGGACTGAAGGGTGTGACCATATGACTTGTTCACAGTGTAACACTAACTTTTGTTACCGATGTGGGGAGAGATACCGCCAGCTCCGTTTCTTTGGAGACCACACATCAAACCTCAGTATATTTGGATGCAAATATCGCTACCTCCCAGAGAGACCTCATTTAAGGAGATTAGTTCGAGGGTCAGTCTGTGGTGAGTATCTGATATGGCATATAGGAATCTCCCACTGGAAATTATGAGTCATAATAGAACTTAGAAATGTAATGACCATGGAAATTCTGAGCACTTGCTATGTGCCAGGTAAGAACTTTTCCAAAAGATGAGATCAAAATTAAAAATTTAAATTTATTATAAGACACCACTTTTATAAGCAAGCACATTTTGTACTTTGAAAAAACAAAATATTGATTCTTGTTGTTTTGAGATGTTCTCGAGTCAGTCACGACTTACCGCGACCGTGTAAACAATGAATCGGAACTTTGCCCTGTCCTGTGACATTCACGGTCCCCATCATGCTCAATCACTTTGTTATAGTCAACCTCACTGATATGTCCGTCTCACTGAGGGTCTTCCTGTCCTTCACTGACCCTGTATTTTCCCAGCATGATGTCTTTCTTCCAAGGACTGGTTCCTATTGATAAAATGCCTAAAGTTTGTGACATGAATTTTTTCCATCCTTGCCTCTGGATGGATGCACTTCCTCCAAAACAGAATTGTTTGTTTTCTTGGAAGCCCCTGGTGATTCAGTCCTCTTCTCTACACCGCTGTTCGAAGGCATTGATTCTTCTTTCATTTCCTTTATTCACTGTCCACCTGAGGTGCATAAGAAGCAGTTGAAAATACTGTGGCTTGCATCAGGTAAAAAAAACTACATTAAACATAAGTCTTTAAAATGGCATTTGCGAAGGTTCCGGACAGCAGATTTCTCTATGACAGTAGAACTCTTGATTTCTTGGCTTCTACTAACATGAGTGCTGATTGTGGATCCAAGTAAAAAGAAATTGTTGACAATTTCAGTCTTGTCTCCATGTATTATGATGTTCCATTGGCCTAATAGTGAAGATTCTTGTTTTCTTTTTTAAAATAAAAATTTTTATTTTAATTGTGATTTTAATGAAAGTTTACAGAAAAGTTAGATTTTCATTCATTCATTGTTACACATTTTAACCCCTCTTCTTTATACTCCCCTCATCCTCCCTCTCCCCTCCCCCAGTTCACTTTTTAAAAAAATATTCATTCATTTTTCACAATTACCTCCCTCCCCTCTTCCCCCATTCCTCTTTGCAGTGTATGTCTTATTCTGAGCTGGTTTTTTACATTTAATGCCTAATCATATATTCCTTTTAAACAATTCTTTCCTTCTTTTACTCCAGTGCAATTGTCATTAACTATCCACTCTTATCCTGTTCTGCTCCCAACTCCCCGTGTCAGACCTGCTTTATAACAGTGGAAGAGCATTGTCTTTTTGTAACTGACATATTTCACTCAGCATAGTGTACTCCAGGGGTTATCCATGTTGTGTAATGTTCTACAGGTTCATTGTTTTTCAATTCTGTGTAGTATTCCTTTGCATGAATATGCACACCATAGTTTTTCTATCTATTCATTTGTTGATGGCCACTTGGGTTGCTTTCATTTCTTTGCTATTGTAACACAGCAGTAAACATGGGTGTGCATATATCTGTTTGGATGGTGCCTGTAGTTTCCTTAGGGTATATTCCCAGAGGCATTTCTGGGTCAAATGGTATTTCTTTTTCCAACTATTTGAGAAAGTGCCAAACCGTCTTCCATAGTGCTTGAACCATTTTACACCCCCACTAGCAGCAAATAGGGGTTCCAGTCTCTCCACAACCTCACCACCGTTTATTGTTTGCTGCTCTGATGAACTTTACTGTTGTTGTTGGGATTTGTTTCTTTGTTTACGTTAAGAGGTGAAACGTAGGAAAGGCTTATCTCCCTCAGTAAGTACTTCAGATCTTCATTTTCTGCAAACAAGGTTCTGTTTTCTGCATAAAGCAGCTTGTTGGGGAGTCTTTCTCCAATATTGAAGCCACATTCTTTTTCTTCATATCCTCCAACTTCTTCAATTACTTGTTCAGCACACAGATGGAATAGGTATGGAGAAATGATACAACCTGGACATACACCTTTCCTGATTTTAAACTATGTGTTATCTTTTTGTTCTGTTTGGACAACTGCTTTTTAATCTGCTTTCTGTTTTACAAGAATGCAGTTAAATATTCTGCAATTTTCATTTTTCTCAATGTTAGCCTTCATCTTCTGTGATCCACACAGTTAAATGTTTTTTCACAATCAAGAAGATACAAATAAACATCTTTCCGGTACTCTCTACTTTCAGCCAAGATTCATCTGACATGAGCACTGATACCTCATAGGTTACAGCCTCTTCTAAAGCGAGTTTGCATTTCTAGAATTCCCTTTGAATACAGTTCAAGCCATTTTTTAACAACCTTCAGTAAGCCTTTTACTTGCATGTAATAGTATTGATATCGTTGGATAATTTCCACGTTATGTTGGATCACCTTTTTCTTTGGAGTAGGAACAGATATGGATCTTTTCAGTCAATTGATCAGCTGCTATCTTCTAAACTCCTTGGCCATAGACTGGTGAGCACATTTAGGGCTGCATCTGTGTCCCGGAACACCTCAACTCATATTCCATCGATTTCAGGGCCTTATTTTTTGCCAATGTCTCCAGTGCAATTTGGACATCTGCTTTTATTACCATTGGTTCTAGATCATATGCTACTTCCTGACATGATTCTCTTCTTTTAGTCTAATCTTTTTTTAACTAATTCTTTTAATAGTACTCCTTTCATCTTCTTTTGTTGATTCTTGTATCATTTAGCAGTTTGTTGTTGTTGTTGTTGATGTTGAGTACCATAGAGTTGAAACCTACCACAGCTGACCCTGTAGCAGGTTTTTAGAAATAGTCACATGGGAGGAGATTGCCCAGCCTTCTCTCACAGAGCAGCTGGTGGCCTCCAAACACGTGCCTTCAGAATTGCAAGGCAGCTTCTTGCCATTAAGCCACCAGAGGGTTTGCCCACAGAATTCTTCAGTATCGCAAGTTGAGGTCTGAATTTGTTCTTCAGTACTTTTAGCTTGAGAAATGCTGAGTGTGTTCCTGCTTTTGTTTTCTAATTCCAACTAATTGCACATATCATTATATTTTGCATGTCTTCTCAAACTGCCTTCTGAGAACATCTGTTCAGTTATCTTACTTCAGCATTTCTTCCTTTTGTTTTGGTCTCTCTACATTCTAGTACAAGTTCCTGAGTCTCTTTTGATAGCTATTTCGGTCTTTTCTTCCTCTACTGTCTTTGTGATGACCTTTTAATTTCTTTATGGATGAGATCTTTGATGTCATCCCACAACTCATCTGGTCTTCTCTAATTATTGCATCAAATCTATTCTTGAGAAGGTTTTAAAATTCACCTGGGATAGCTTTTAAATTCAAGGTAATATTTTGATTCTTGGAGACTAATTTTTATTTTCTTCAGCTTCAATTTGAACTTGCTTATGAGTTGTTGATGGTCTGTCCTACAGTCAGCCCCTGGCTTTGTTGGGACTGCTGATAAGAAGATTCTTCATGGACTCTCTCCACAGGTGTAGTCAGTCTGGTTCTTGTGTAGCCCAGCAGGTGAAGTCCATGTGTATAGTTGTCATTTATGTATTTTTAAAATGATATCTGCAACAAATGATCTCCAGCATGATATCTGCCTTATTTTCATCTGTAAAAATAAGACGTCATTAATCTTAAATCTTTGAAACACAATTGTAACCCACTTGACAAGGGATGTCACATTCATTTTTGCATAAACACATACAACATAAGGGAAAGCCTGAAAAGCCAATATAATCATATGTTTTAGGGCTCTGATAATGGAATTCCACTATATTTATGTTACTGATAGGTCCTGGTATATGTTCTTCTACTTTATTAATAATTAACATCTGACAGGTAATGGGATGAATATCAAATGTCCTCCTAACATGCAGATGTGATTTTAAACACCTAAATGTAATTCTGTTTCTGGGTTGACTCTTTTATGCCTTCTCCTGAGCTCTTTCCTTATAGTGCATTACCCATCTACATGTGAACTCAAATATACAAACTTAAGTACAGATCTCTGCTTGTAATCTAACTGCCCTAGCCTGGTGCCACCACATTGGGGTGTTACCATCTTTTGCCATTGATATACAATATTTTTTTATATCTTCAACCTTTTTATCCTCCATTTATTTTTGTCCAATTACTTAAAGAAAATCTCTGTCCTTATCAACCCACCATTTTTTAGTGTTATGAAACATCCTATCCTATCATGACTTGACTAATTAGAAGCAGTACATAACAATAAGAGCATATTGTATTAGTTGTTTTATATTTAAGCCCCTTGTTTAGAGTCAACAAGACCTCGAGGAAGGCCTTTGTATTTAAAAGTCTGTTGTTAACTTTCTTTTGGAGGAACATTCTTTTAAGTGGTACAGCACTCTTCTGTCAATATGCTGTACTGAGGTAACCTGGGTTTGCTGAATCTTCTGCCACTGGGGTGTCAAATGCCATAACGGTTACCCATGAGGGACAGTGTTTAGTGGAGCTTCCAGTTTAAGACTGGTCTGAAAGCCGGAGTGGTATCTACTTCCTAAGCAACATGCCTCTGGAAACCTATGAACTTTGATAAATGACGATAGTTATAGGAAGGCTTCAGACCTTTCAAAGGGTTGCTATGAGTCATCCACAACTTGACAGCAATCAACAACAACAACATAGTTTCATGATATATTTGTGTCAGGTAAGAGGTGGAACATACACTTTATAAAGCAGTTTATAAAATTTCCACAATCAGCAGCATTTTATATAGTCAAGACTGTTTTTAATTTTTTTAAAATATTTCTGTTTCTTTGCTTGCATGATACCTAATTTTATAATCAATATTTACTTATTTATAACATTACTATTATAATACAATGTGTTAAAAATTGAGTATATAGTCTATATTTACAGACTGATACAGTGACTACACACTATGCTTGAGTGTGGGAACGCTTCAGGTTAGGGCACAGTTTCCAGCTGTTCCTAAGGTTGCTATTAAGGCATATTCAACTCTAACAAAAGCAACATAAATACAGAGAGAAACTCCAAAACACGAAATCTTGTATTTTCTGCACCATGAGTCCTTCTCTTTCGAACTTTCAAGGCCATTTTGGACTTGTTGTGGCAAGATATTTCCTTACATATTTTATTTTGTAGAATCTTTGTTTAGTCTAGTTATTTTTTTTCTTGTCCATTTAGGAATATTTTAATAAATCAAGTTTTTTCATGCCATATTTGCCTAAATTATTATGGACGCATTTCCTTTGGTTCCTCTCACTAATTGAGACAGATACTTCTAGAATCCTATCATGTCATAAAATGAGGTTGCATTATTTGGCAGACTATAGACTGGAAATTCCATCGAAATTGTCAGTAGAGAAATCTTTTCTCTGTGTACTCTTTTCTGTTTTTATTTAAAAGACTTATGGTCACCTTTATGTAAATGGTTTTCTTTTTGACTTGTTTCTTTTCCATGCATGCCTATATTACGTTCAACGAGACCAGGACAAGCATATGAGCAGTTGTTCATATAAAGTTTTCCTTGATACATACCGTTTCCACCTCCAGCATACATGTCTTTAACTACTTTTTTACTATAGCCTCAAGTGTAATAGTTCACCTTTCCTATCTGCACTAAAAATGGGAAAGGGGTCGTCTTAATAACCCACAATTGTGTCCTCGATGCCGTATAATGCAGAAGAAGATGGATTATAGCAAAGCCCTCCTTCTCAAACCTTTGTAATTCATTTTACTCCCTCATCCTTAGGCCAGAGCTTCCAGTTGTCCTTGGACAGAGGCAGAAAAGGGGACAGTATTTCTCTCATAACTGGGAAGCATGATCTGCATTCCGTGTGGCTATGTGCCTCTCTAGTGATTATAAGTTTCTGCAGCTAGAGAGGAAGACCTCACAGAGACTGGGGGATGCTTAGCCACCAAAACCAAAGAGCACATCCCTTGTATTGAATAAACAAATTATACTAAGTCATATTGGAAGTAAAAGCCGCTGGGGAAATCTTTCACACTCTCATACTATTACATGCAAAATTGGAAAGTATTGAATGAAACCATATCAGTTTAAAGAAGGGAACTCTGCTGATGTAGTCGATAGAGGGTCCCACTGTTAGTCCAAAGGCTACATGTCTCGAGTGGTTCAAATGGAAGAAAGATGGGCAGCCCCCTCCCATGGTGATTTACAGCCTCAGAAACCTGAGGGAGTGTCACTCTCAGTCAGAACTGACTTGACTGCAAGCTATATATGAGTTCTGAGTATTAAAGAAAATACTCTCGTGGCACACTCTCTAGGGAGGTGTGCTGCAAGCATAAAGGCCAAGCCTCTCTGCAGGCTTCACATCGACCAATAGGAGAAAGATGGACAGTCTCCTCTCACGTGATGTACAACTTCGGGAACTGATGGAGGGTCAGTTATGAGTTGATTCTGACTGGATGGCAATAAATGAGTGAAGGATATCACGGATTTCTAGGTGGAAAATCATTTATATGCGTGAAAACAATAGAATTCTTTTTTTCCTTCTTCCTTACTCCAGAAAAAAAGAATGCAGAAAACAAATGAAGAAGTATAAATAGGAAATAGGCATATCTTAAATTGCTTACTGATGTTAATAATCAAAGGACAGTGAACTAAAATGAGATTAGTTTGGACTGTGGTCTGTCAAATATTTTGTTAAGTTTATTCTCAGTGCTAGATTGTCATAGTCTGGACGCTGAATGAGTTGGAAATGTGTAATACTTGTTTAAAGATTTATGACAGAAATATGATGAGCACTTTAGAAACATGATAAATCTGAATACGTTGGTGATGGTTTATGTGTAAGGAGAATTTTAAAAATACAAAAATAACAGACAAAATATATGAATACTTAAACAAGTTATAATATGTGCATATGATAGACATCTATTTCAGCTCTTTAAAATTGTGCTTGAAAAAAAAATTCTTTCTGGCCTAAGATTATACTGTTGACCCTCCAGACGATTCTCAGAGGCTATAAATCCCACAGGAGGAGATTGCCCATCTTCCTCACACAGGTGATGAAGTTTTGACCACATACCTTCAGATTGTCAGTGTGTCTCCTTCCACTAGCCCACCAGAGCGCTTTTAAGAATTTCAGAGAGAGATTTTATTACCTCAAGACAGTTTCAGAAATAATCCCGCATTCTTTGAAAACTGTTCACATCATGGAAATAAGTTGATCATTTCCCAGTGCGAGATAACACACACCTGGTGCCCTGCATTTGAGCATGTTTGAGGCAGGGGAGGAGATAGCTTAGAGTCCTATCTCTTTACTGTTTTAAAAAGAAATGGATAAATTTTGGAAATGGAAATATGAATTAGCAGACTGAACTACACGTGTAGAAGCAAAACAAGATTTTAAAATATGGAGCCCAGTGCATTCTAAACTCTAAGTTTAAGAAGGCACTAAATGTAATTGTTCAGTACGACGTGTTGTTGTTGTTATGTGCCGTTGAGTCACCTGCATCTCGTAGCAACCTTATGTACAATAGCTCTGAATCTTGCCCTATCCTGAGCCAATCTTACCATCTCCAACAGACTAATCCCATTTCTCCAGGCACTAAGTCAATCCATGCCATGCTGGATCTTCCTCTCCTGCACTGCCCCTCCGTCCTTCCAAGCATGATGTCCCTCCCCAAGGACTGGTCAGTGAGATTTAGAATTACTTGAATTATGTATGTCTTTGATAAAAACAAAACATTGTGTTATCTTAGATACAGATTCAGGTATGAAAAATTATTTTTTCTATATTTTTAGTCATCTGATTCCGAAGACCACTTGTTCAGAAAAGACCAATTATACTTATTTTCTATGTAATGAAATAATGGCTACGCATGGTGGACAGTATTTGGTGGAGCTCTCCAATTAAAACAAGCTTAGAAGCAGGAGAGGCACACTTCTGAAATGGCTTCCTCTGGAAACTCTATGAACGTGGAGAAACGACGAAAGTTATACAAGTGTTCAGGTCTTCCGTTCATTGAGTCACTGTGAGTCGTCAAGGACTCGACTGTACTTAACAACAACAAGTGATTACCCAGAATCACTGTCTTTAATATGTATCATGATATTCTGGCTCATTTTCATCAGTTATATGAGTCGAGTGTTTGTTCTTCTGCTCATCCAGAATTTCTTATTATATTTTTATTTCAGGAGTTACGCTGCTAGCCCAAAGTCAGGTGGATACACATTGAGAAAAAGATGAGCAATCTCTTCCCATGCAATTTGCAGCCTCTGAAAACCCACTGAAGGGTCGGCTCTGAGTTGGTGCTGACTTGACAGCGTAGAACATCATTTTGGTTGCCCAGCGTAGTATAATTCTGTATGCCCAGGAGCTCTGCTGGCCTAGTGTACAGAGAGTGGTGCTTGTGTCTCAAAGACAACATCTTTCGCTGGGAGAAGAAGACAGTTAACTCCTCCATGATTTCCAGCCTTGGAACTCCAGCCAAGGGTCAGCTAGAAGTCACGCTCAACTCTTCGGTGATGAGATGTTGGGTGTTTTGGTTTCGGAGTCTTAATATCAGTTACTATCAATGAAAAGATTTTAAGTAGTGGCTGTGGCAGTGAATTTAACACAGTATCAGTTGTGAGGATGACACAAGATTGGGCGGTTTCATTCTGTTGCACAAATGGTCACTGTGAATCAGAGTTGACTCAATGCCTCCTCAAAGCCTTTCTTTTTTCTTCTTTTTATGTGCTAGTGCTTTTCAAAGCCAGTAAAATTCTGTCTGTAGATTCCTAGCTATGCTGACCTGTGATGGCTGTTTATTATTTACCACAGCTCAATTTTTAACTTAAGGGAAAAAATGTAGACTAATGCCATCTGACATCCTTTATCAGCTTTGCTGTTGTTTTTGTTGTTGTGTACTGTCGAGTCAGAACCGACCCATAGCTGGCCTTCTGTCAGGTTTCCAGAGGAAATTAATCACATGGGATGAGACTGCCTATCTTTCTCCCATGGAGCAGCTGATGGACTCAAACCGTGTGCCTTTGGGATTGCAGCAAAGCTTCTTACCATTAGGTCACCAGAGCTTCCTATTATTTAGCCTTCTTATTTTATATGTTTTCTTTAACATTTTGTTTAATCTTGATAATAATAATAATTTTTAAAAATTTGTTTTATTGTGTCATTATAATAACTTCCAATATACTGTATATTTATTGGTGTTGTTTTCTTAATTCGATTGTCCTATTAGTATTTCACTGTATTAAATGTTGCTATTTTCAGTTTTCCTTTTATTAATGAAGTTAATAAATAACTTTTTCAGATATGGGCTTGGGTAGGAGTTCCCTGTAGCACCTAGAAGCTGTCCATTTTATGAGCTAATAAGGCTTTTTTCTACCAACTCAAAATGTGTTATTCATTTATTAGTTTTTTGACATCTTGAAAACTGACAAGGAAGAGATATGAAAGAAAATCACAAAGAATGTTCCTGATAGAATTTCCTTTGTTAAAAGGGTAAATTGCTTATGAAATTGTTTAATTAGCATGTCCAGGGGTTCACTAGCGTACTACATCTGATACATTTCCTTAACAACAACAACAACAACAACAACAAAAATAGTTACAGACTTACAAAATAACATGTACTGTGGTTCAAATTAAAAATACTGCTGAAATGAATTGTTAAATTACTTTTAAGATTCTTTAAATGGTTTTGCCTTTTGTTTTCCAGCTGGAAAATTATTTGTTGCACCTCTAATCCTAGTCGTGGGATTGGCACTTGGGGCCATAGCAGTTGTAATTGGTAAGAAATACTCCTGACATGATTTTGTTCCTGTTTGCTTTCAAGGAATGGACTTTGACCTGTTAGGAAGAAGACTGGTTTAAATGGGCAGTGAGCATTATGTATGACTGACAAGTTCAGAGGCGTGTGTTTCACGTAGAATGTACTTGTATAGTACTTTTCCAGTCCACAAATAAGTTTCTTTTTGTCTCTCACTAAATACTACTGGGCACTCTTTTAATGCCAAAGTTAATGTAGCCGGTTGTAATAAATATGTCCAGTGAGATAGAACCAGATTTTACAACTTTAAATTCACACTGGAGCCTACTCAGGGATGAAAAAAAAATCACATTGGAGCAGCAAAGAGGCTGTGGTCTAACCTTAGGTGTTAGGGTCTAGTTGAAAACAAAGCAAGCAAACAAAGCAATATCTTAGATGCATGTAGAACATGCTCTGGTGAGCTCTGAAAACAGATCATGTTTCAATGCTTTGTGTAGTTGTATGGGTACTGGTAGAGTAGAATGTTATTTTATGAACAGTGGTTTTCTCACTCTCATATGCACTAGAATCGTGTGGAGTGCTGATTATCACACAAATTTCCAGGCCCCATGGAGAGTTTCTGATTTGGAAGGCCTGGGTTAAGACCAGGCGTTTACTTTACTAAAATGTTCCCAGGGAATGCTGATGTACTGGTTTCAGGACCACACTTTGAGAAGCCTGGCTTTAGAGAATGTTTAATTAAACATTGCAGATAAAGGCTGCTTTGATGATGATTCTATGTAGTAGCTGGCATTTTTTTTTTCTAAATAAGGGTTCTCATGTGTAAGCTTGTATTTTGCAAATAATGCATTATAGACCAAGTAGATTTATAAAGCAGCTGATATATATGTTCTTGCAGTAAGTCTGGAGTTTGTGAGACAGATAACATTATTGTCTGCATTACATATTTGAGACTATTACTGCTTCCACGGACCTCTTAAGTAGGAGAGCTAGAAACTGAACCTGACGTTTGATTCCTCAACAGTGTTCATAACTGATTTGCTGTACTGCCTGACACTTCAGTGTGTACATCATACTGTACAAATATATGACTGCAGCTATTAAGAAAGACTTGGATCTAAGGTTTGATATTGTGATATAAAACAGTATTCCATATTCAAACTGATATCACTGGACTTGTTCAAAATGGGGAAAGAAATGCTAAAGGGAAGCAATTCATAAAGGATGCATTTCTATAGCAGTACATAAATATTCTAACATAGATAGCTTCCCTCTTTCCACTTTCATGTATTGCTAAATAATGATTATCAGTAGTTTACAAACACTTCAAAATGAGAAATTGAAGCTATATAACCAAAATTATAATTCCCTCTTTTTCTGATTAGTTTTAATCTTTTCTTCTCTTTTTGACCCTTAGGTTCCTTTGTATTTCCTGTCTATTGCCTTTGTAAAAAGCAGAGAAAACGGTCGCGGACTGGTATGCACTGGTAACTGCAGGTGATTTCATCTGAACTCTACTGGTCCGGGTGGGAGCTGTGCAGAATGGTACACTCATGTGTGAGTCACACCTTGGAAATCACTAAGAGGAGCCTTTGCCATCTTGTCTCCCCCTGATTCTCTGCAGGCCATGATGCCTCTGGCTACGGTGCACTCCCCACATGGCATCCTGTCCCTTTCCCTTTACAGAACGCTGCTTTTTAAAAAAATTGTCACTTTCATAGACCATAAGCATCTGTGTCATAACTTTTACCCTCTCCGTGATTCTTTGAAGAAAACATTTTCATTAAGAACCAGTCATCCTCAGTAGTATTCTGGGCAAATCTTTGCTGAATAATGCTTGGATTGTCTTTGAGCCTTGAACCTCTTCCCCCTATGCCATCTGTGATACTTGATATGAACTCAAGTCTCATCTGTACCTATAAGCAAGGCTACCTTTCCGAAGACGAAGGTTCACCACGTACACCTCTTTTCATCCGTGGCCCAAGCAGTATAATTCACTCATCCTTCAGATGCTAGAGTTGCTCAAAATGTCAATACTCAAAAGGGAACTAAAGAGAAGAATCATGAGTTGCTGAAGTAGATATGTGTAGGGGTGTGAATGTGTGTATATATAAATATCTATGTTAAAACTAGGCCAATAACCTTGTACTTGTCTCGTTCTATGCCTCTACACTATTTTTCACAATTTAATAGTGCTATTTAAAGTTGGTTGTTCCTTTGTGGGCAAAATTTGGTAATGTACTGAATTAAAGTCAATGCAGACAACAGGCTGTTTCGATGTTGACCCTTTCTATTTCTTGTGCTCTATTTTTGTCACACATACACACATAAAGTTATGCAATGCCACTCAAGGGTCATCAAACTCTGTATGCTAGCAATCTCAGTAGGCTGCTCTTAGGCAGTTCCCCAAGACCTGGGCACTTGGCATTTTCATATTTCTTATATATTGGTATGCATGCTTCACTGTATGGCTGAATCTTTGCAGTGGAAGTAGTTAATCCAAAGAACAAGTTTTATATAAGGACAAGTGCTTAAGTCTTCAAATAACTCTATACTGCTGTGGGTTTTCTTTCAGGTTGTAGTTACAGAGAAGTCTGCTCTAGGTCATTGTTTTACATCATTTAATACCCTATACTCTTCTCTCACTCACCTTCTTGCCTTTTTTATTAACTTGTCCTGGATATTTTCATAAAAATAAATATTTTTGGAAGGACTTTTCCTACACTTACTGCTCAAATACAAGATAATCTGTTGGTGTCTCCTATGGAGAGATAATTGAAAACAAATTTTCATCTTCATGAGCATATCCAAACTAGAAACGGTTTTTGGACCAGGAAACAAAAATCTGAAGGCAGTGTTTTCGGGAAGCTTTTCCAAAGCGGGGAAGTCTTTAAAAACAAGAAAAGATCAAGTATTTAAACTGATATTTCTTTGTTTTTCTCACAAAATTTCATTAGCAGTACAAAAAAAAAATACTCCAAAATACTCATAAGACATTTTAAGCTTCGAGTTGTCTCCTGAATTCTTAAAGTTAGTTCTCTTCCATTGATGTGCCAGGGATGTGTCAGCACCGTTGTCTGATTTGAAACATGTTACGGACTAAAACGTGCATTTTTTAATATGGATAGCTTGTTTTTGCTGGATTCCAGAGTAGAAGAAAACATTTTATCATTTTTTTACCTCAGAAGTCCATAACAAATGGAGTTTACGTGCCAACCGATGTCCATTTATTTTCTAAATAATAATTAGCATAAACTACAACTTCTGAACTACTTATTTCCACTTAAAGAATGTGCTAACTGTAATTCTGAAATAGCATTTTCCTAAAGTATAGCATAATATAAGAAAGTATGACGCTGTAGTTTCACAGATTCATCCTTGCATTCCTCCATGCCATCCATCCATCTGTCCTTCCATTCATTCAGCAAATATGTATTGAGTGGCTCTACTTGGTGCTCGAATATGAGGACTGAAAGAATGAGACTTTCTAGTCTGATTCATGTATTTCTATCATAAAAGTACTTAATTTTTGTAAATATGTCTTTCCTGGACTTAGGCTTTAGTTTGGTGATTTATGAATATGATAAATTTCTAAATCGAGTGAATATGTATGTTATACATAGGTCAATATAGAAAATATTCCCATATCTCTATACATGTGTCACATACATATATACCAACTGGTTAAATAATATGCACTCTGGTCTAAATGATCTATTTTCTTAGTTTATTGTTATTTGTTGTCTTTGGCTTACTCAGGGATTTTTATTCCTTTCTTTAAATAATTTCTCTTTTGGAGGTATTTTTATATTATTTTGAAAACTTCCTGATATTTCTATTACAAAGCCGTGTCTGTTATCAAACAGTGAAGGCTGTCCTCACAATGCACAGGTGTTTCAACTTTCTATTGCATAGATTTTTTTTTAATTAATGTATGATTCTTTTCTCTTTATAAATTGACATGTGTTTGGTCTTCCCCTGCTGATGGGTTAGCGTAATTGTTACTAAACTTCATAAAATCTTAAAAACAAGAAAATAGAATGGATTATTTATATGGTAGTGCCAACATTGAAAGTAAAACTATAACAGCAAACTTGGGGGTAAATTCTAAAAGCTACTTTAGAAAAACATGCGTGCACAGAAAATAAATAACCTTTCTATCTAATTTTGGTCATTTTAATATTTTTTTCATTCTAACTTTACTATATACTCCTTTAGAAACATTGATTGTAAAATAGAAATTTGTTTGCTTATCCCACCCTTTATTTGCAGAGGGAAACCACTGTCAAGGATTTGGTATGTTTCTGTCCAGATATTCTACCGTTACAAAGATAAGTGTGTGTATGTTGGAGCGCATATGTCTGTATATGCATTAGTTTTATACAGAATGACTAATAATATTCTTACTGTCCTGTGACTTTCGATTTTACTATATATATATATAACAGTGAACACCTTTCTATAAGAGTATAAATAGAATTACCTCATTCTTTTGTAAATTACTGCATATTATAGGGATGGACCATAATTTATTTAATAGTTCACTATTAAATGGACAGTGAGACTTTTGTCACTTCTTTATTACAGAGCAACACTGAAGATCCTTTTACATGTATTTTTGTGCTCTTGTGTGAATGTTTCCATAGATTTTTAAATTTCATTTTTACAAGCTATTTATAACAAAGATTTTAATGCATTTTCTGTGAATCAGCTCACAGAAGCAATGTAACTGAGATACTTCTCTTGGGGAAAACAAAAAAATATCTAGGAACGTGTACTTTTTACAATTGTAGGATAATATTCCCTCTACTTGATTAACCAAATAAATACCTTGCCAAAACTTATAAACTAGTATAAATATTTTTTCCAATAAAAATAAAATACTATGAGATGGCTCTAATGATATGAGAAATATGTGTTAGGTTTTAGATTGCTTAGTTTTAAAACTTGGGGGAATTTAAATACTCAACAGATACATGACGTGTGTCATATTTTTAAACCACTATCCATGTTCATGCATGTTGATGCACTAAAGATCTTAATTATGCTGATGAGCAATGTGGGAAGCGGTATATTAGCCATTTTAAATGCCCGTAATTGGAATAAAGGTAAGGCTTGGTGGCTTATTGGCATATTTATAAGTGTAGACTAATGAGATGTTTTCATTTCACAGTAAGTTCCAACAGTTTCCCAAGAATTTGTCTATGAGGTGTTAAAATAAAGGGACGGTACACCTTTTGGTACAAACAGCATCCTGTTGCAACTACAGATTGATTTCCTGATAGCTGATATTGCTACTAGAATAGACAGGGAAACTATCAGAGGTGATTAAATACTGCTCAGGTAACAACATGCTGTCTTTAATTGTGCTTCCTCTGCTTTGGTATCAAGATTCAGTAGTACCTGTCAAGAAATTCTAAGTCTCATGCCACCACCATCTCTTGAGTCCCGCATGAGTCTTTATCTTTCAATTCTATCTCCAAATATATGGCCCATTGCACCCCATTCCATTAGGCCACAAATGTCTACAAAGCACTGTAATTTTTTTCAGTCCTTGGTGACCTCCCCCACCTCACTTTTCTTCACTAATGATTTCTCTAAGTCTTTCTCACTGAAAGAGAAGAAGAGAGGGAGGAGAAGGTAAACAGTCACTCTTTCATCAGCAAAGTATCACCAATTCCTTCCCAGCCATTGTAAAATTGGGATACATCTGCCAAGGAATCAATATAACCTCTCCCTTGTTAAACACAGTTATCTCTACATTTACCTTTTCATGCTGCCTGTTAAGATTACAAATACAAAAATGTAGTTTCTTAAAGAGCATTAATAGATACGTCATTAAGTCTGAAGATAAGAAAACTCAGACCAAAAGCCAGTTTTAGACTTTAACACTAGAACTTGCAAAAACAGGAACCTGTGTAACACATTTCAGAGAAGAAAAACTCTAATATGTTTTGCTTATACAGAATGATGTTGTTTCTTGGTGCCTTTCAACCAACTATTACAGCAACCATGTGAACAACAGATCTGAACCTTGCCTTATCCTGCCTGCACCAACCTTCATGATCTCTAGTATGCTTCTGTCCTATTTTGTTTAGAAACGTCCTCCCTCTAACCTTCCAACTTTCCCAACATGATGTTTCTTCCAAGGCTTGGCCCCTTCTGAAAACATACCCAAAGTGCATGAGACAAGGTTTCACCATCCTTGCCTCTCAGGAGCACCCTGTCTTGTACTTCCAAGACACTCTTGTTGTTTTGGCAGTCCATGGGATATTCATTCAGTACTAAGGTGCACCTGATACAAGCCATGGTCTTTGCTATCACTTAGGCATCAGAGAGTTGGGCAATGACTAGGGAGGATAGAAGGAGAATTGATGCCTTTGAGCTCTGGTGCTGGAGAAGAGTATTGAGGGTACCATGGACTGCTAGGAAACAAACAGATTCATCCTGAAAAGGGTCAAACAGGGCTGCTCCTTGGAAGCAAGGATTCT